CAGTTCTAGTTCTAGTTCAGTTCTAGTTCAGTTCTAGTCTAGTTCTAGTTCAGTTCTAGTTCAGTTCTAGTTCAGTTCTAGTTCAGTTCTAGTTCAGTTCTAGTTCAGTTCTAGTTCAGTTCTAGTTCAGTTCTAGTTCAGTTCTAGTTAGTTCTAGTTCAGTTCTAGTTCAGTTCTAGTTCAGTTCTAGTTTCAGTTCTAGTTCAGTTCTAGTTCAGTTCTAGTTCAGTTCTAGTTCAGTTCTTAGTTCGTAGTTCTAGTTCAGTTCTAGTTCAGTTCTAGTTCAGTTCTAGTTCAGTTCTAGTTCAGTTCTAGTTCAGTTCTAGTTCAGTTCTAGTTCAGTTCTAGTTCAGTTCTAGTTTCAGTTCTAGTTCAGTTTCTAGTTCATTCTAGTTCAGTTCTAGTTTCAGTTCTAGTTCAGTTCTAGTTCAGTTCTAGTTCAGTTCTAGTTCAGTTCTAGTTCAGTTCTAGTTCAGTTCTAGTTCAGTTCTAGTTCAGTTCTAGTTCAGTTCTAGTTCAGTTCTAGTTCAGTTTCTAGTTCAGTTCTAGTCAGTTCTAGTTCTAGTTCAGTTCTAGTTCAGTTCTAGTTCAGTTCTAGTTCAGTTCTAGTTCAGTTCTAGTTCAGTTCTAGTTCAGTTCTAGTTCAGTTCTAGTTCAGTTCTAGTTCAGTTCTAGTTCAGTTCTAGTTCAGTTCTAGTTCAGTTCTAGTTCAGTTCTAGTTCAGTTCTAGTTCAGTTCTAGTTCAGTTCTAGTTCAGTTCTAGTTCAGTTCTAGTTCAGTTCTAGTTCAGTTCTAGTTCAGTTCTAGTTCAGTTCTAGTTCAGTTTAGTTCAGTTCTAGTTCAGTTCTAGTCAGTTCTAGTTCAGTTCTAGTTCAGTTCTAGTTCAGTTCTAGTTCAGGTTCTAGTTCAGTTCTAGTTCAGTTCTAGTTCAGTTCTAGTTCAGTTCTAGTTCAGTTCTAGTTCAGTGCTAGTTCAGTTCTAGTTCAGTTCTAGTTCAGTTCTAGTTCAGTTCTAGTTCAGTTCTAGTTCAGTTCTAGTTCAGTTCTAGTTCAGTTCAGTTCTAGTTCAGTTCTAGTTCAGTTCTAGTTCAGTTCTAGTTCAGTTCTTTCAGTCTAGTTCAGTTCTAGTTCAGTTCTAGTTCAGTTCTAGTTCAGTTCTAGTTCAGTTCTAGTCCAGACAATAGACTAGAGTGAAAACTGTAAACTAGATTATAGATAGCTCTATAGACTGACAGGGCTATAGTTAATACTACAAAAAAAAAACTATCAATGTTTAATAAGAAATTTGATTAGGCACATATTTCTACAATTGTGCATTACTCAACGAGCTACAACTAATTTTAACTATTGTAGTTAAAAATTAATTTTTGACTAATATTTTATTTTACAACACAAAACGCTATGTTATCAACTACAAATAAAAATAATTCAAATATTAATTTAAAATTAATAAACAAAACGTGTCTTTTTCTTACAACACAAACATGATTCAATAATTCAATCGTAGAAAAAAAATTCTTAATTATGATCTGTGTTCTAAAAAATATTTTTCCCGTGAATTATTTCGCCTATAATTTTGTATATTCCTCACTTTCATTCAGAACACTTGCACTTGAATATATCTTTGTTGAAAAAAAAAAAAGATTTTGTGACTTTAAAATTCTCTATTTCGCTCACGTTTCAAATTATACCGGCAATAACATTGTATTACAATAACAACAGAAACCACAATAACAGCAACAACGACACCTCAAAAAAAGTAAGTCAGGGAAGTCCAAACCCTATAATAAAAAAAGTGAGGAGTTTGTTTTGTTCTCTTGCATATTGTATGTAGGTATAGTTGGGGTCTCAAAAGAACTTCATATATGAATCATTTATGGATGAGTGAGTATGTTTGTGTTGAACATTATATTCAAAAACAAATTAAATTAAATATTGTTTTTTTTTTTTTTTTTTGCTATTTTAATGTTTTGTTGTTTTTTCCAATTATTATATACTACATAGAATTCGTTTGTAGGTTACGCTTAAGTAATAAAGACAATTGGATGTATTTTTATACCCTACACCAATATTGTGAGTATTATGCTTTTGAGCTGTTGCTTGTAACAGAATCTATAGTTGTGAGATCTCTTTCAATATCCCTGCAAAATGCAAGTTAAATTAAATAAATGTTATAAATTGTCTGATTCCTTGTTCCCACATGAAAAGAGGATCATTGCATGTTGGTTGGTATTATCCATATAAGATCCGATCCATTCGTTGAAATCCATAACTTTCTTATTGATCTTATTCAAGTCAATGAATTATTGATATTAACTCTTTACTGGTGTAGGGTACTATATAGTCGGGGAGACTTGTTAATATTTGTTTTTATTTATTGCTCAGAGTGCGTGTGTTTGTATTTATTGCTGAAAATAAAATAAATAAAATTAAAGGCAAACAAATTATTTGTTGAACGCCTAAAAATGTACCGATGCAAATAAAAAAATAGCAAAAAAAAAAGTAAATAACAGTAGGGGAAGAGAATTGTGATGAGTTATAAACGATCATGTGAAGGCCCTACCCAAACTGTTAAGATCTATTAGACTGCGGTGTAAAAACTCGATGATGACATTTGACATGAAGAAGTTTTTTTGGATCCAAAATTGTTCTGCCAACTTTTGGACTTGTGAAAGTGGACCTTATATCGGAGCTGTGACCAATAATGAACTGATTCGGAAACAATCTTCTTGAATGATTTATATGTATGCAAAATATAATCATATCGAATTTTATTGCGATATCTTGTTTTGTCACTTTTTGGACCTTATATAGAAGGTAGGGTCAGTTATGGACCGATCCGAAAAAAAAGCATTTTGCTGGGTGATTTATGTATACTTTAAACATATTCATGGCGAAATTTATCCCAATAGCCTTATTAAGTAATTAAATTTATCCGTTTACTTGATTTTCGGAAGTGGACCTTATATGAGAGCCATAACCAATTACGAGCCTATAGCGAACACATTTTTCGAAGTGATTTACATATATATAGAAAACTTGTTTCTGTGAAATTTGTTTCCAATATCTTTATTAATCAATGAACTAAGAATTTTGGTGCTTTTCGGACCAATTATGGACCGATTCGGAAAAAAATTGTATGAGGGATTTATATACATATACACAGAACATACATATTTCTGTTATTTATAAACCGATTTTGCTGATTTTAAATAGGAATCTTTTCAAAAGCATATCTGATAGAATTATTGAAAATTTGGATCCCAAAAGATATCTGGGGTCTTTAGAAAATTGATTTCAACAAACATACAGACAGACTGACATGGCTTAATCGACTCCGGATTAGAAAATTATATTATAGAAAGTACAATAAAATGACAAACATATCACAAAGGTGATGACGTTCGATCCATATTAGAATTATATCAGAATTATTGAAAATGTGGATCCCCAAGATAGCTGGTATCTTTAGAAAATTGATATATATCTGCGATCTCTAGAAAATTGATTTGAACAAACATACAGACAGACTGAGATGGCTTAATCGACTCCGGGACTCAAAATTATATTATAGAAACTACAATCAAATGACAAACATTGGTGATGACGATCGGTCCATGTTCTACCCCTATATAAGGTCCCTTTCAGAAATCTCTTTCATAATTGATCCCATCTCCATATTATGTCTACTTTTTCAGATAATCAGATTATGAAAATATATTGATTTTGTCATTACGTTTGTAACGCATCGAAATATTGGTCATAGACCCAAAAAAGTATTATAATCTGGGTCCTTAACAAATTCTAAGACGATCTAGCCATGTTCGTCCGTCTGTCTGTTGAAGGCATCATACGGGAGCAGTTGAAGGTATTGGTATTGAAAATAAGCCTTGACGGTCCACGATATCACATAGCCCCCATACAAGTGGTCTCCCGGAATAAAGCAGTTAATTAGGCAGCAATAGTGTTAAATTTTTGCACAAGTTTTAACTTTAAATTATAGTGACACAATAAGACACAAACACGTTTTATAAGAACACAAATCTCTGTAACAAATTTGATAAGAATAGATTCAGAATTGACCCTAACCCCGTATATAAGGTCCTCTTCCGAATATGACGTTAAGACTTACAACTGGCTACTTGTACGTGATCAAATTGAACACACAAACAAGTTTTATAGGATCGAAAATCTCACTATGTTAGGATCGATCCATAGATGGACCTACCACCCTACCCATATAAGATCAGTATCAGATATTGCCTTTAATAAATCTGGCTTAATAATACCAGTATACTGGCGAAATTCTTCATAAACTTGTTTTATAGGACATTTGATCAAATTTTATGAAGATCAAACTGCAATTGACTCTATCCCTCTTTAAAATACTCTAGAGATCGGTCCATATATTCAATCCCAGTTTATATTTAATGCCATATTATGAAAATCTCTATGATGTTTGTTATTAAAATTTATTCACTCTCTTGAATAATAAAGACATCGGTTCATGTCCCTATTGAAGATCCAATTCCAAATAACCCTTGATGGCAGTCGAATATAAAACTTTCGTTTAGTATTTTTTTCCAGAAAGATTGAAGTAAATTTAAAAAGTTAAACATAACGATAAAATGCAATTTAAAAATCTCAGTCCTCCTTATCAGTAAGTAAGTCACTTTACGTTAACGTAACCTACACCAGCATCAACTGAAAACACCATCCAACCGCAAAGTAAATTGTATGTAGAAAATTGTGTATTTTTTACTACTCATACACCAAAAAAGCAATATGTATTTTTTTCCATTCTTATCAGTAAAGAAGAGTATGATTAATAATAAGAACACAATAATACGAAATGAAGTGCGCTGTGTGTGTTTCACTCGTATAATTTTTTTTTTTTTATTATTTATTTACTGTCGTACAAATCTTCTGTTTTATAAAAATATACGAATGAAACTGAAAGTTACAAGACGACTTTAACGGTAGTTATAAATTGGAATTGAAACGATATACTACTAGCAGACCTAAAGTTAAAAATTAGTTTGAAAATTAAACAAAACGAAAAGCCCTTTTGAACGGAAGTGACATAAAAACAATAAAAAATAATGAAATAAATTGAAAATAACCAAAAAGAGCAATTTAAAGAAAACGTGTTAAATTTATTAATTAATTAAACAAAATTTATATTTGTGTGTGTTATTGTTATTATTTACAAATAATTAAACAAATCAAAAAAAACATACAACATGTTTTCATGGTGTTTTAAGTGTCAAACTGCAGATGATGATGACTATCATCAACGACCCAAAACTCGTAATACTACGGCAAATAAATCCCAAAGAGGCAACTATACCGCCGTTCCCGTACCAACGACAACAACAAATGAAACTGAGGAATCTAAGAAAACTGTGGAACAATTGCAGTTAGAAGTTTTGGAAGCTCATAATAGATATAGAGCCAAACATGGTGCCGGACCATTGACTTTGAGTAAACAATTGTGTGCGTTCGCCACTGAATGGGCAAAAGTAAGTTTGCAAATGGAGAGAGACACACAGACACAAAGAACAATATAACAAAAGATTCTGTTGTACTTATAGATGAGTTTATTATGGTTCAAGTAGAATATTCTTGTTGTTTTGCATAATTGATTTAAAACAACAACATGAAATTGTGGTCGGTATTGGTCGACTAGCCTAAAGTCTAGTCTATAAAGATCACAGATAATCTTAGTTTTGGCCCTATCTCTTACTGTTACCAAGATAAATGGACTTTTATGTTTACACTAAAAAAAATCGATTTTTAGTGGGAAATAATGGAGATCACAGATTATCGTTGTTAGGGGCCCTATCTCTTCCCGTTTCCAAGATAAATGGACATTTATGTTTTCACTCAAAAAAGCTGATCTTTGGTGGGAAATAATAGTGATCACAGATTATCGTTGTTTTGGACCTATCTCTTCCCGTTAACAAGATAAATGGACTTTTATGTTTTCACTCAGAAAATAGATTTTTGGAAGGAAATAATAGTGATCACAGATTATCGTTGTTTTGGCCCTATCACTTCCCGTTTCCAAGATAAACAGACGTTTATGTTTTTACTCAAAAAAGTTGATTTTTGGTGGAAAATAATAGTGATCACAGATTATCGTTGTTTTGGCCCTATCTCCTTCCGTTTCCAAGATAAATGGACTTTTATGTTTCCACTCAAAAAATAGATTTTTGGAAGGAAATAATAGTGATCACAGATTATCGTTGTTTTAGCCTTATCTCTTCCCGTTTCCAAGATAAATGGACTTTTTTGTTTACACTCAAAAAATCGATTTTTGGTGGAAAATAAAAGTGATCACAGATTATCGTTGTTTTGGCCCTATCTCTTCCCGTTTCCAAGATAAATGGACTTTTATGTTTTCTCCACAAAAAATCGAGTTTTGGTGGGAAATAAAAGTGATCACAAATTATTGTTGTTTTGGCCCTATCTCTTCCCGTTTCCAAGATAAATGGACTTTTATGTTCTTACTCAGAAAATTGATTTTTGGTGGGAAAAAATAGTGATCACAGATTATCGTTGTTTTGGCCCTATCTCTTCCCGTTTCCAAGATAAATGGACTTATATGTTTTCACTCAGAAAATTTATATTTAGTGGGAAAAAATAATGATCACATAGTGGAAATAGTGGAAATATCGACAGATAACAGATTATCGTTGTTTTGGACCTATCTCTTCCCGTTTCCAAGATAAATGGACTTTTATGTTTTCACTCAAAAAAATCGATTTTTGGTGGAAAATAATAGTGATCACAGATTATCGTTGTTTTGGCCCTATCTCTTCCGGTTTCCAAGATAAACAGACTTTTATGTTTCTAGTCACAAAAGTTGATTTTTGGTGGGAAAAAATAGTGACCACAGATTATCGTTGTTTTGGCCCTATCTCTTAGCGTTTCCAAGATAAATAGACTTTTATTCTTTCACTCAAAAATTTGATTTTTGGAAGGAAATAATAGTGATCACAGATTATCGTTGTCTTGGCCCTATCTCTTCCCGTTTCCAAGATAAATGGACTTTTATGTTTTCACTCATTGATTGATTTTTGGAAGAAAATAATAGAGATCACAGATTATCGTTGTTTTGGCCCTATCTCTTCCCGTTTCCAAGATAAATGGACTTTTATGTTTTTACTCAAAAAAGTCGATTATTGGAAGGAAAAAATAGTGATCTCAGATTATCGTTGTTTTGGCTCTATCTCTTCCCGTTTTCAAGATAAATGGACTTTTATGTTTTTACTCAAAAAGTCGATTTTTGGAAGAAAATAATAGTGATCGCAGATTATCGTTGTTTTGGCACTATCTCTTCCCGTTTCCAAGATAAATATATATGTTTTCACTCAGAAAATTTATATTTGGTGGGAAAAAATAGTGATCACAGATTATCGTTGTTTTGGCCCTATCTCTTCCCGTTTCCAAGATAAATGGACTTTTATGTGTTTACTCAAAAAAGTCGATTTTTGGAAGGAAAAAATAGTATCTCTTCCCGTTTCCAAAACAAATGGACTTTTATGTTTTCACTCAGAAGATTGATTTTTGGTGGACAAAAAAATAGTGATCACAGATTATCGTTGTTTTGGCCCTATCTCTTCCCGTTTCCAAGATAAATGGACTTTTATGTTTTTACTCAAAAAGTCGATATTCGGAAGGAAAAAATAGTGATCACAGATTATCGTTGTTTTGGCCCTATATCTTCCCGTTTCCAAGATAAATAGACTTTTATGTTTTTACTCAAAAAACTCGATTTTTGGAAGGAAAAAATAGTGATCACAGATTATCGTTGTTTTGGCCCTATCTCTTCCCGTTTCCAAGATAAATGGACTTTTATGTTTTCACTCAAAAAACTCGATTTTTGGTGGGAAATAATAGTGATCACAGATTATCGTTGTTTTGGCCCTATCTCTTCCCGTTTCCAAGATAAATGGACTTTTATGTTTTTACTCAAAAAAGTCGATTTTTGGTGGGAAAAAATAGTGATCACAGATTATCGTTGTTTTGGCCCTATCTCTTCCCGTTTCCAAGATAAATGGACTTTTATGTTTTTACTCAAAAAAGTCGATTTTTGGAAGGAAAAAATAGTGATCACAGATTATCGTTGTTTTGGCCCTATCTCTTCCCGTTTCCAAGATAAATGGACTTTTATGTTTTTACTCAAAAAGTCGATTTTTGGAAGGAAAAAATAGTGATCACAGATTATCGTTGTTTTGGCCCTATCTCTTCCCGTTTCCAAGATAAATGGACTTTTATGTTTTTATTCAAAAAAGTCGATTTTTGGAAGGAAAAAATAGTGATCACAGATTATCGTTGTTTTGGCCCTATCTCTTCCCGTTTCCAAGATAAATGGACTTTTATGTTTTTACTCAAAAAGTCGATTTTCGGAAGGAAAAAATAGTGATCACAGATTATCGTTGTTTTGGCCCTATCTCTTCCCGTTTCCAAGATAAATAGACTTTTATGTTTTTACTCAAAAAACTCGATTTTTGGAAGGAAAAAATAGTGATCACAGATTATCGTTGTTTTGGCCCTATCTCTTCCCGTTTCCAAGATAAATGGACTTTTATGTTTTCACTCAAAAAACTCGATTTTTGGTGGGAAATAATAGTGATCACAGATTATCGTTGTTTTGGCCCTATCTCTTCCCGTTTCCAAGATAAATGGACTTTTATGTTTTCACTCAGAAAATTGATTTTTGGTGGGAAAAAATAGTGATCACAGATTATCGTTGTTTTGGCCCTATCTCTTCCCGTTTCCAAGATAAATGGACTTTTATGTTTTTACTCAGAAAATTGATTTTTGGTGGGAAAAAATAGTGATCACAGATTATCGTTGTTTTGGCCCTATCTCTTCCCGTTTCCAAGATAAATGGACTTTTATGTTTTTACTCAAAAAGTCGATTTTCGGAAGGAAAAAATAGTGATCACAGATTATCGTTGTTTTGGCCCTATCTCTTCCCGTTTCCAAGATAAATAGACTTTTAAGGAAGGAAAAAATAGTGACCACAGATTATCGTTGTTTTGGCCCTATCTCTTCCCGTTTCCAAGATAAATGGACTTTTATGTTTTTACTCAAAAAAGTCGATTTTTGGAAGGAAAAAATAGTGATCACAGATTATCGTTGTTTTGGCCCTATCTCTTCCCGTTTCCAAGATAAATGAACTTTTATGTTTTTACTCAAAAAAGTCGATTTTTGGAAGGAAAAAATAGTGATCACAGATTATCGTTGTTTTGGCCCTATCTCTTCCCGTTTCCAAGATAAATGGACTTTTATGTTTTTACTCAAAAAAGTCGATTTTTGGAAGGAAAAAATAGTGACCACAGATTATCGTTGTTTTGGCCCTATCTCTTCCCGTTTCCAAGATAAATGGACTTTTATGTTTTTACTCAAAAAAGTCGATTTTTGGAAGGAAAAAATAGTGATCACAGATTATCGTTGTTTTGGCCCTATCTCTTCCCGTTTCCAAGATAAATGGACTTTTATATTTTCACTCAGAAAATTGATTTTTGGTGGGAAAAAAAAGTGATCACAGATTATCGTTGTTTTGGCCCTATCTCTTCCCGTTTCCAAGATAAATGGACTTTTATGTTTTTACTCAAAAAGTCGATTTTTGGAAGGAAAAAATAGTGATCACAGATTATCGTTGTTTTGGCCCTATCTCTTCCCGTTTCCAAAATAAATGGACTTTTATGTTTTCACTCAGAAAAAAGTCGATTTTTGGAAGGAAAAAATAGTGATCACAGATTATCGTTGTTTTGGCCCTATCTCTTCCCGTTTCCAAGATAAATGGACTTTTATATTTTCACTCAGAAAATTGATTTTTGGTGGGAAAAAATAGTGATCACAGATTATCGTTGTTTTGGCCCTATCTCTTCCCGTTTCCAAGATAAATGGACTTTTATGTTTTCACTCAAAAAGTCGATTTTTGAAAGGAAAAATAATGATCACAGATTATCGTTGTTTTGGCCCTATCTCTTCCCGTTTCCAAAATAAATGGACTTTTATGTTTTCACTCAGAAAATTAATTTTTAGTGGGAAAAAGTAGTGATCACAGATTATCGTTGTTTTGGCCCTATCTCTTCCCGTTTCCAAGATAAATGGACTTTTATGTTTTAACTCAAAAAGTCGATTTTTGGAAGGAAAAAATAATGATCACAGATTATCGTTGTTTTGGCCCTATCTCTTCCCGTTTCCAAGATAAATGGACTTTTATGTTTTTACTCAAAAAAGTCGATTTTTGGAAGGAAGAAATAGTGATCACAGATTATCGTTGTTTTGGCCCCATCTCTTCCCGTTTCCAAGATAAATGGACTTTTATGTTTTCACTCAAAAAGTCGATTTTTGGAAGGAAAAAATAGTAATCACAGATTATCGTTGTTTTGACCCTATCTCTTCCCGTTCCAAGATAAATGGACTTTTATGTTTTTACTCAAAAAGTCGATTTTCGGAAGGAAAAAATAGTGATCACAGATTATCGTTGTTTTGGCCCTAT